TATTGCCAAAAAATTTTATGTAGGCTGAGATTGGCAAAGTCTATTGATTTACTTAATAGAAGAATGGCTTAGGAAATACAGGAAGTGGTTAAAATACATTAATAATACTTAATCCATAAAGAAAATCTGTTCTTATAAGAACTTGTTTTGCATTTTATTGTCCCCCTTTGTTCAGTATTATTAATTGCACTGAGAAACTTTTAGTCATTTCTGCTCGGTATATTCCTATGCACATCAACTAAAGGAAAGCACATGCCCCCAAACTCAATGGGACTTACTTTTCAGTAAACATGAACTGGCGCAGTGCTAGGCTGGGGTTCAGGAGAGCCGGGTGCTAGTCCTCACTCAGCCGTGAGGCTCATTGGGTGACTGGGGCCCAATCACAGACTCACCCCTGCCCACCTCACAGGGTTGTTGTTATGAGGATAACAAGGAGAGGACAACCTGGTAAATCGCCTTGGGTTCCTTGCAAGAGGATGCAACAAAGGGTATAAATTAATGTAAGAATACTTTTGGCATTGTGCTGGATCCAGACTTGGCACATCGGAAGAGCCATGCTGGATCAGTCCAAGGCTCCGCCAGGACCAGCAGGCTGTTCACACGCTGGCCAGGCTCCCGTTTGCGGGAAAGCCACAAACAGTCCACGGACCCAACCGCGTCCTCCCAGGGGTGTTCTCCTGCAACTGGTGTCTCAGATGTTGGAAGCAGCGTATTGCGAGCAGGACCAGTAGCCGTTCATTTCCATGCACCTACTCAAAGTACACCCAAGTCTCGAGCCAACCCTGCCACTTCATCTGGAACCTGAATATATTGTGGAACAGAAGGGCACGATGCCTGTGAAAGCTTTGCTTTCTGAGGTAAATCAAAAGGAACCTGTTGTCACTGGCTTTCATTTTCGTTTTTTAAAGGAAACAAGATATTGCCTTCCTTAGTCTAAATCCTATGGTACCATTGCTGCATTGTCTGGAAAATGTCGGATCTTTGCTTTTGTTTTTTAAATAATAGTTTTTAATATATCAGTGGTGCTTTCTAGGCTGGAAACTGGCCCTTCTTCCTGCAGGAATACACACTCTGTTTCATGCAGCAGCTTGTGGAATCATTTGCGGGGCCGGCGGGTCTGCTCATGATGGATTGGGGGGCCAGAGTCCAGAGCCCGCAGCGCGGCAGTCCTCAGGGACCACCCAGAGAGGCGCAAGTGAGGAGGGTGGCAAGAGCAAACTGCGCTGTATTTCTGTAGTCTGCGACATGAACGCCTGAGGGTTGGAGCGCATTTAAGACGCAACCCTGGTCGTGTTCAGAGTATTTGTATATATGGTTTGGCAGTGCTGTTGTTGTTTAAATGTACGAGGAATGTAGCTGCAGTTCTAAAGCATAGAATGGCAGTTGAAGAGGGGCAGAGGCATGAGTTGGGTGCTTCACCGCTCAAGTAAAGCACACGGCCATCTGACCCCCCGCAACCTCCCCCCTTCCAAGTTCTTTACGTCTAGGCTCTGAAATGGCCTGGTTGTGCCGCTGGCAAGAGCCTCTGAAAACGCACCCCTTTGGATGCCACCCATCTCCAGGCACATTCCGGCGAGAGCCTGACCTCACTCTAGATCCAGGTGAAAGATACTTTGGAAGGTCTGGAATCTGGCCTGGCTGGTAACATTCTTTTGGAATTCATGATATTGACCAAGCCAGAATTCCAAGGCTTAAATGGAACAGATTTGGTGAAGAATAATCTATTTCAGCTAGCGAAGTAGATTGACTGGATGCCAGCGTGAGAAGAAGGATTTGTGAGTGGTACCTATGACGGGGTAGCTGGAGGAGGATGCCTTTTGCTGTGACAAGACAGTGACTCTGTACATGGTGTGTTCCCCCCTGCAAAAAAGGGTCTCTCACCTGCGTTTCTTTGATCTTTATGCTTTTTAATAGGTAACTAAAAGAATAGACGGACGTATCCAGGAAAGGGTCGAGCAGGGATTGGGTTGGCAGATTATCCTCCTTTAGCAAGCGATATCAATATAAATGCATTACTAGTGCTGAAGCAGAACATTTGGCTCAAAAGAAGCCCAAGAGAGGTGAGGATGAAGCTGGGAAGACTCAAGAGAGGTAGGGTGGACTGTCCCTGTGGCCTCATTCTGCTGGTATTCGGCATGATGGCTTGACTGCTGGAAGTGCTCTGGGGCTTCAGAATCAGAGGCCGTTTCTGCAGCACTGCACATCCCTCATCCTCCAAGATGAGACTGGCGGAGGAATAGGACGGTCGGTGGGGTTTGTCTTAAGCCACAGCAAAAACGAGAAGGCCACCCAAACACCCATGATTCAGAAACTGCACAGTGTGTTGAAAAGTATCTGGGGCCAGCCCCAACCGAGAGTGGGGCAGGCAGTGGCTTCTGAGTCGGAATGCCGGGCATGCCAAGCAAACGGTGGGTGGGGGACCCACTTGGCTGGGTGGGGGCACAGTATTCCTTTCCCAGGCCTTTGGGGAAACGCCTGAGGCATGGGGATCGTTGCCGCCTCCCCACACCTTGGAATTAACTTCCGTGTGCCAGAAGTGCCGTGCTCCTGGGCTTGCTCCGTGCTTATAGAACAAGGACATGGCCTGCAGGCAGCCGGGAACCTGCTGAGGAGGGAATCGGCCCGCAAAACAAGCCTGCCCGGGGCTGGCTCTGGGCAGCTTTCTCCCAATTCCCCCGGTTTTACAGAGCTCCTGCTCAGACCATGGCTTTCCAGGCAATCCTAAGCATATATACTCGGAAGTAAGGCCCACTGTGTTGAACAGGACTTACTCCCAGGTAAGTAAATGTGCACAGGACTGCAACCGCGATGATTTCAGCTTGCACACAAGCCTCATCCAGAGAAAGGGGAGGTGGTATTTCTACCACTCTTGGGAAAGAGAAGGCACCCGATGTCCAGGGGTATTCTTGGAGACACAAAAAGTGGGTGCATTTTGTCCTGCTTCCACGCCAGGGAGGCTCCCCCCCTTCCTCCCCAGAGTGGCAGGCTGGGCCGAAATGCACACGCACTCGCAAGCAATAATGACGGGCAGGGACAAGCGGCCCGGGTGGGCCCCAACCACCGCCAGGGGGGTTGCTAGGCACTTCCAAGATTCGGGACCCAGGCCCATGGGGTACAGGCCTGTCGTTTGCACCTGCTCTGGATCGCCCCGCACTGTGCTGGGAGAGACTGGGGGCAGCCATCTTCACTCCCCCATTCCGATCCCCCTTGAAAATGGCCTCCTGCAGGATGGAAGCCTTCCCACCAAACCCTTTGCCAGTCCCAGCCGCGCAGGCGTTCAGAGCTCGCGGGCAGTGGGGCAGATTCTGGGCTGTGGGAGAGGTGTCTGGGGCTGAGGTCCCATGGGCCCTGGTCTGGCAGCGCCCCTGGCCACTGGACTGCCGCATGTCCGGGCTGCTTCACAGGGCCAGGCCCATGCAAAGCCGGGAGGAGGGACGAGTGCCGCCTCGAAAAAGGGTTCAGTGGAGGCCGCATTCCCATGGCAGGACTAAGTCGGGATGGACAGAACGGGCATGGCGGGATCCAGGGGGTTGTGTGTGGAGGGGGTGGATGGGAGTTGCAGGGGAGGGAAGCGCTCGCCTCCTCAGGTGGGAGCCGAACACGCTGCGGCCGGCCGGTGCCCCGCACTATGGAACATGGAGGACTGCAAAGCCACGCCACCTTTACACACTGGAGCAGCCGAGCCGGGCCGGGCCGAGCCGGGCCGGGCTCGAGGCTGCCCTGCCCAGCCAAAGCAGAATCCAGAGTCTACCTTACCACAAGACAGAAGCAAGCTAACATGCAACGGCTGTGGGTTTTGTTCCACAGAGAGAAGGAGGGAAACCCTTATTCATTAGCAAATGATAAAAAGGATTTAAAAATTAAAAACAAAATTTAAAAATTGAAGGAAAGCCGATGCTATTTGCCAAGCATCACGGGACCTTCGGGTCCACCGGATTGCTCGGGTGAGTTAGTTAAATCCTTTTTTCCTGGGATTGTTTGCTCCTTGGTGTGTCGTTTGGATGAAGACGAATTACAGTCAGCCTGTCAACCATCTTCAGGAGCACCTTTGATCCCGAACTCCCAAGAGTCTCCAGGACAAGCTCCATTTTTTTTCTTTCACAGCATTGGTCGGTTTCCTTCTTCTTTCTGTCTCTTTCCCTGCACACTCCCAGTTTTCTTTTATAAACATTCCACTGTAACATCCCGTTCTTGGAATTCCCAGGCAAATCCAATGCTGCTCTGTAGAAATCCCCATCCTTGATCGGCCAAATGGACTCTCTCAGGAGGGCGCTCCACTTCCCTTTAGCTTTCCACCTCGAACGTGGACGTCACTGACCACATCTCAACCATCCAGAATCCATACCTGGGAAGGCCTTCAAGAGGGCTTGCCCCATATTCTTGCCTCATGACCCATCTGGACTGGATGGGCAAACAGGTGAACCTCTACCCGTTGTGTGAAACACCTGGACAGAAACCACTTTGATCCAGCACTGAGCGGCAATTGCATTGCCCCCAACTCATCAATCTGCCATTGCGGTTTCTTGCTCATTTTCCCATACCGCTTTCATTTGGTTTTTCTGTTTTTTGTATTTTTAATCGTTATTTTCCCAAAAATTAAGATTCAGGACAGATCACTACAAGGAAGACGGGAGAAGATGGAGGCATGGGAATTTACAAACTTGCAGAGGGATTCTTCCACATGGTCTTTGCCATGGCTTAAGAGGAGTGGCTGCAGCTGCAAAGTGCGTTGTCATTCAAATGTTGTGTCTTCGTCATTGTTGTTGTTCATTACGCATTGCATTGTTCACTCATTGTGTGTGTGTGTGTGTGTGTGTTGGTTGTGGTTTAAGTCACAGAATCTCTCCCGGAAAAGAAAAATATAGTTTATATATATATATTTATATATATATTTATATTCAATGAATAAATAAAACCATGACTCTGATTGGTTGGTCAGTGCTGGGTTGGGATTGGAGGACGTGACTCCAGGTGTTGGCCAGGTTGTTCCAGGGAGCCGCTTATTCGATCACCATGCAACGGGGCAGGTGCTGGGAGAAATACTTGAACAGCTCTGGAGTGGCCCCCGGGCAATTCGTCAGCTCCAGCTCTTCCAGGTCCTGCAGCTGGACAAGGCCTGAAAGCCCCGTGGTGGTCAGCAGAGGGCAGCCTGGGGGAAAGCAGAAGAGAAAACGCTCTGCATGAACGAGGAGGAGGAAGTTTTCTACAGATGGCCAAAATTAGACATTCCGTTGCTGCGTGGTGAGGTAGCCATGGTGAGGAGGAAGCACGGCTCCGGGAGCAGCTGCGGGGGGGCGGGGGGAGGAAGCAGAGCCCAGCAGGAGCGCCTTGCCTGAGCCCTCGGTCCCCTGGGGCTGGCACTGCCACCGCGGGTCATCTTGCCACACGTTCCGCCCTTGCTTGGACCGCCGGCTCAACATATTGTCCCTAGCTTTGCATCCTGCAAATTGGACAAGCAGACCCTCAGTCTGATCTACCTTGCAGGGCTGTTGTCAGGATAAAACTGAGAGGAGGAGGCTTAAGTAAGTCACCTTGAGTCCCTTGAAAGGGAAAAGGCGGGATATGAATGAATGAATGAATGAATGAATGAATGAATGAATTGGCAGGAGGCATTTCAGCTTGGCAGGTTTTTGAATCTCAACCTGGTAAAAAATTGGTTTGGATTTTGGAATGCTGTGCCCATGCTGCTGGTAGTAACCACAATGATCACAGCCCTTTGACGTGTTCAGGGGCCGCAACACTCTCTCTGCATTGCGGGGTCATCCTCGCAGCAGGTCTGCCAGGGGGCGGAGGGTGAGCTGCTGGCCTACGACCACACGGCCCCCAAGGCAGCTTCTAGCCAAGGCAAGAGGTTACTCTGCCCGAGTCATGGAAAGATGACATAACTGAGAGGGCAGCTGCTTCTCCTGGTGCAAACGCATTTCCTTTGCTTACCACAATCAAACACGTTTTTTGAAGCCTGGCAAAAGTCTGCCGGACCTCTTTGATCAATGCTGAGAGCAACGAGCACCATCCGTTCTTTGATCCCACTTAGGATGGATGGGCGGTCGGGGCAAAGTGCACCTGCTTTGCACGCCAACGTTTAGCATCGGCAGCTAAGGCAGGAAAAGCCACCGCAGGGCCTGGCGCTCTGCTGCCAGCCCGTGTGGACAGTGCTGAGCTTGATGGACCAGGGCTCAGCTCAGTATGAGGCTGATTCCTGCTTCCATGTTTCTGGGAGAAAGGGTGTTGCCTCAAGCCATGGTTTTCCTTCCTCTCTATCACGTGGGCAAAATTCTATTTTTTTTTAAAAACCCAGTAAGCAGTTGATGGAGGTTTTAATGCTGCTCGGTAAGTTTGTGGTTAATATGGTCTTTCTCTCATAGAGAGATGGGCTCTCTTTCAGCACAGTGCCCCAAAGCATAAGAAAAGGATTCCCGAGTTTGACCCTTACCAGCAAGAGACAAGAGGCGTAAACTTCGCATTCCCAGCAGATGCTTCAGGCCAAAATCTTGAACCTGGAACAGCAAAGAAGAAGGAACGACTGAGAGCCAGACCTGCCAATATATGAGAAACAAACGGTTCAACATCCGAGGCTTTGCTCTGGGCCGTGCCTGGCGGCCATTTCCCTTCAGCAGGGACAAGTCAGTTGTGGCACCATCTTCAGGAAATGGGCTCCTTGCAGACTTCTCAAGTTTCGACACTCTTACGGTGCAAGGCCAGCATTGGCCTCTTTTTGATAACAAGCAGACCTGCCAATAGCTGGATCTGCACTGTGACCCCTGTTGAGGTAGAGAGAGAGATGAGGATTTGACAAGCCCCTTTTCCAAGCGTGAGTTCAGTCTAGGTACCTGGCTGAGGTTGAGGTTTGCTGCAGACAGCCAAGACGTCTCCACTACAGAAGAGCTGCAAGAACTGTCTGTTCCCACAGGACATTCTTCCTTGGGATTTAGCTCCTGAACTGGGAGTTTCTAGTTGGTTACCCTCCTGCGATTTAGCTTCTTTTGCTGTGCCCCTGTTTCACTTCGGCTGGTAAGTTACATGACTTAAGCGAATTAAGTAAAAGGGGAGCATTTACCTTCTTACGTGGATGCTTGATTTGCCCACATGCTTCCTGTTTCCTTGGTGCCGTGTCAGTGGGACTGGGGTGCTTCCCCTAGTAAGTTCCTGCGCCAGCTCGTGGAGCTTGCCCTTCCCTTCTAGCCCCAGCCGGCATCATCCCACTGCTACGGCAGCCGACTGGCTTAGACCACCTTGCTTAAAAGTAGCTCCGCCCCTGGGCAGCGCTTGAGTCCGCTGAGTGGAAACCTGGGCCGGCGGGCTCCCTGGAAGTGGAGCTCTCCTCGCCAGGGGAGTGGTCCATGGCTTGGGAGTAAGCCAAGGATACAGTTAGAGCTCTTCTGGGAATACCTGCGTTTGATTCTCCATAAGCCTACTTCCATGGGAAGTTGCAGTTTTTTCATATAAAATGAACTAATCACATAACCAGGTCTTGACTGGAGTGAGGTCTGCACTTAAACTTTAGCCTAAGGGCTGCACTTAAAAACCTAGAGTGGAGTCTACACTAAGCTTGATCTGAAAGCTGGGCATTCACTTTGGGTGCTTCCAGATGCCTTCTGCTACTAGGGTACCGTGCGGCTATTCTGTCTTTCTTTCCCCTTACTGGGTCTTGTTTTCCTGATCTAAAAAAGATGGAAGAAGCACTGGGGAAGTCCAGGAGATTTACACATGGAAGATGACATCATCTAACCGCTCCCCTCCCCCAATAAAATTCTGCGAATGATGCAGAGTGATTGCACAATGAAAGTCTGATGGGGAAGCTGGAAAGGGACTGGTAGGCAAAAAGTTTGAATAGCCCAGCTCTCAGGAGTTGGTCACAAATGTCTCGTCTTCCTCCAGCTCCAGAAAGTCATACTCTTTGCCATTCCTGCCTCATTATAGCCTCTGCTGGTAGAACCCAATAAATCAGCCTGCCATTTCCCATCACCTACCTGGCAGCACCAGCGAAGGTACAGATTCCTAAGGGACGACATGGTGGATAAGTAACTGAGTCCAGTATCTGTAATCCGCACACACCTGCAGAAGAGGTGGCAATTCACAACCATAAAGAAAAAAGCATCATCAGCAGCAGCGAGTCAAATGGGCAACACTTTAAACCAGAGGTGGCCAACATAGGTTCTCCAAATCCCAAAAGGCCTCTGGAAGTGAACAGTTCGGGTCTCTGGCAAGAGCGATTTCTTCCCCAAGGGAGTGGAAAGGAAAAGAGGGTGGCAGGACAAACGAGAAAGAAGAGGAGGAGGAGGGAGGGTGCCAGAAAGAGGAAGGAAGGAAGGAGAGGAGAGGGAAGGAAGATGGTGGCAGGAAGAGAGGACAAAAAGGGGAGAAAAGGAGGCGGCCCCACCTGTTTTTCGCTCTGACCCACCTGCCACTGGCTTCAGCTCAGCCTGCTGCCAATTTGGCAGATTGCCCCTGGGGGAATGCAGCCCCTGAGCTGCCCCCCCTCCACCAAGGATCACCCGTCTCTTTCCATTCCAGCCTCATCCTTTCTAAGCATACCATCCTTGATGCCAGTCTTGATCAGAGGAGCCGCCAAAATGGGGGCAGTGGTGCCTAATGGAGCATTGGGCCAAAGGGGCTTTGGGGTGGGGGAATTCTGGAGCATCCAGACCTTGATGCGAAGGCTATTTTTCGGTGTTTGTGGTGTGCACCTGTCCACTGGCTGCTTGAGCGTGGAGACAGACCGTGGCCCTCTGCTCCTTTCCTCGGTCTGGGCCAGAGTGAGAGGAGGTCGCAAGGAGAAAGAGAGAGGCTTCTGTGGGGCCCTTCGCAGGCGCCTGGCCAGGCCTGCCCTGAAAGAGGGGGCTGAAGTGGACCACACGCCTTGGTCTCAGCTTCACATGCAGGAACTTTCCCCTTCACCAAAGCTGCTACTTGCCGCTGGAAGAGGGTTGCAAGAAAAGAGAGGGAGGAAAAACAGCAGAACTGCCCTGTGAGCAACAGGATGATGAAATTGCATGCACTGCCATCTGGAAATAGATCCCCTGCACAAGCTGGGCCAGTTCCTGAGGGGCTGCTTTGGATGAGAAAAGCTGTGATTGCTGTAGAGAACACGAAGGCATTTCCAGAGGCGAGGGGCCTTTCCGCACTGGCTCTGCATCCAGAATGTCCGTGGCTGCCCAGGTGGGCATTCAAAAGTCTTCCTGCCAACGAGTCAGGGTGGCTGAAAGGATCCCCTGGGACAGAGCTAGGGCACGATCCTTTGCAGGTCTTGGCAGAACTCCCTACAAGTCCCGGTATATAAAACTTCTTTCTGATTGTGCTTCACTTGTTTGTAATATGATGCCATTCTGGGATGCTTTAAGACTCACTCTGTTTATTATTTGCACTTAATTTGCAGTTGTGGAATTGTTGTCCTGTGTGTACATTGCCTCAGCATTCTGGGAACTTTTTAAGAAAGAGGGTTGGCACTGTGGAGGAACCTTTGGTGAAAAGACACCTGGTGCCGAGTGCTGGGGTGGAGAGACAGACAGGATGGGCTTCTGCAACAGGCATGGGGCGAAGCCCCTGCAGAGCTGGGTTCAAGGGCTGCTCCCTAAGACACTGCAGCTGCCTGCACAGACTTTGGGAGGGTCCCAGGTCGCATGGCAAGAACACAACAGGGGCAGGTGCTGTATATTAAGGCAGGTGTGGGACTGTGTTAGACACGTGGTCAGGCATCCTGGGGAACAGGGGGCAAGGCTGGCCAGAAGGCTGCATAATAGCCATCATCCTCTGGCCGCAGGATGTCAGGTGATCCTGGAGAACCCGCCTGGTGCTCCCAGCAAGTATAAAGGGTCTGGAGCCTGCCAGCCACCTCGGGCCAGGCAGGTCGCCCCTGGGGGACGGCACGGGCTTCTCTGGCTGTGCAGCCCCCCCACGGCTTCCACCCACCCACTCTGGTTTCTAGTCTGCTGCCCACCTCCAAGCTTCTGCATGAGCTCAACAGGGCAGCCCGCCCCACAAGCAGACCAGATCCAACACGGCTGGCGCCAAGGTCAGGAATGGCTGGCCCGTGTCGAGGGATCCACAAGCCCAGCGAGCTCGGTCGCCATGCCGGGTCGACACAACGCAAGGCGGCTGGAGCCGCTCCCCCTATCCACCATGGCCAGTAGTGGTGGTGGTGGGAGGGCAGGAGGGGCCCCGCCTGCCTGCTCCTGGCGCTCTGTGAGTCAGGAAAGCGCACAGGAGCTGCGATGAGGAAGAGGCTGAGGAACAAACGCGGCCAGGGCCAAGGCTGGGAGAGGTGGCACCCACAGAGCCGCTGCTGTGAGCAGGCCTCTCCTCCCTTCTCACCCTCGCCTGCGGCTTCAGATGAACCTGGAGAGGCACGGCCCTTGTATAAATGCGTACAAAACAGCACGCATCAAAGGAGCGTGCTTGAGGGGTGGGAGCAGGGCCGGTCCAAGGAGAGAGCTGAGCCGAAAGGGGACGTCTCCTCCGACTCCGCAGACCCAGGAGCAGGGGCATCGGACATGGCTGGACGGGCTTGCTTGCTTTGCCTGCCGCCTCCAGCCGGGGCCCAGGAACTCCCCCCAGTCTCCTCCCCAGCCAGCTCCGGGAGGCCTCCTTCCTCTCCCGGGGCAGGCTGGTTCTGAGACTCTTCTCTTGGCAACTGGGAAGCGCCCTTGGCACCAAGTCACTGGGGCCCTGCCCCGCTTCTCCCCAGCATCGGACGATCTGCCTGGTCTGCAGAGGGAAACGCCCAAGAGCCTGGCCTCCGCCCCACTGATGCCGTTGCAGCAGCGCTCCAGCTGCCCCCTCAGCTGTGGCGTTGGTGGCAGTGAGGGGACCAGCCCTTCCTGCCCCGCCACTGTTCCCCCTGTGGCCAGCCAGATCCCCAGAGGAAGCTCCAAAGCAGGGCACGGGGGCAAAAGGGCTGCACGGGCCACGTTCCTCAGCAGCGGGCTGAGCGAGGCACGCTGGCCCAGTGCTCGTGGCCATCACGGCTCGGAGATGTGGGGATCCACTGGATTCCCTCCCAGGCTCTGCTCTGCTCTGGCACAGGGAGTGGGTCCAGCATTCATGGGGCACCTGCAGGGCATTGGGCCCCTTGTACTGGACAAGCAGCACCCTCTTCCAGGGGTTTGTGCCCCCGCACCTGAGGGGGAAGAGGTTGCCAAGTGCGCCGGCTTCACTTCACGAGTGCTTCGGCTCGCTTTCCAAGACCGGGCCAAGCAGCAGAGGCAGGCTGCAGGTACTAGAGCGATGGCTTCCGTGGCCTGTCCGAGAGTTCGGCCGAAGACCTGGCCAGGGATGGCCAGACGCTCCGCCACTTCCACGTACCTGTCCCTGGGCATCTTGTCCTCGGCCTCCATTTCCTAGATAGTCATCCGCGGGCCCAGCTCTTGACCTACCTGTCCAGGACCAGCTCCTCCAGCTTGTGCAGGTCACAGGCGATGTACTCGAGGGCCATGTCCGTGATCCGGGGGCACCACGACAGGTCCAGGCTGCGGAGCTTGCGGAGGTTCTCGGCCACCAGCTCCACGCCGTCATCGGTCACCTTGGAGCAGCCCGAGAGGCTGAGCACGCTCAGGTTGGGGAGGCTGTGCACCATGTTGACCACCCCGTGGTTTGTGATCTCCCAGCAGGAGTTGAGGCGCAGGGTGTGGGTCGTGTAGCCCTGCTTGGCCGTGAAGTAGGCCAGGGCCGTGTCCGTCACATGGTAGGCCTGAAGGTTCAGCTCGGTCAGGTTGGGCAGCAGCTGGGAGATGGCAGCGATGGCGTCGTCCGCCACGTTGATGCAGTCGCTGACACTCAAGGAGGTGATGCGGGCGTTGAGGCTTGACCAGAGCCCGGCCTCGGTGAAGTCATTGCAGCCAGACAGTTCCAGCCGCATGACACCCTGCATCTGCTCCAGCATGACCTGTGGGGGGAAGGCATGGAGAGAGGCTTCGTTTAGCAGAACAGGCCTCACCGGCTGCCGCTGCTGGGTTCCAGCGTGGTCAGCGAGCCCTTGGACACACACAGAGGGGGGCTCTCGCCTGCAGGGCGCAGCACCTGCTCTGCATGCAGGGGGCCCCAGGTCTGATCCTTGGCCATTCCTGGGAGGGCTGGAAAACCATCCCGAAACCCTGGAGAACTGCTGCTCACCTGTGTAGACAGCACTGGGCCAGGGCAACCAAGGTCTGAAAGCATCAGGCAGCTCCTGGTGTTCCTGTGTTTGTTTCCAGACCCAGAACGCACAGGGGAGGCCCAGGCCACACAACCAAGCAGGTGGCTAAAACCCCCTGGCTTGCACACAAAGGACGAGCGAGCGAGCAAGCATGCCACCACACTGCTCCCCCTGGGCCTGGCGGCCTAACCGCACGATCACCCTGGGCTATTTAGCGTGATATCTGAACAAGGAATCCTGAGTTCCCAGTCCGACGTCCTGCTAAACAAGAGAACGTCCCCGGCTTGTTCCACTTCTCCTGCTTGCAGCACGAACAATTAGGCAGCCGGAGCCGGAATGCAGGCCTGGCCCCATTGTGCTCCCAGCAACCCAGAGGTTTAAAAACGAGGCCCGGAGTGTTGTGAATGACACAGCTCTGCTGGAAAATAGGCCTTGTGCCTTTGCCAGCTTAGCCTCAGGATCAGATCACCTCAACAGAAGAAGAAATAACAACCTAAAGGGAATTCAGGCTGCAGTTATTGATGACAACAGTTCTGGCTCCATAATATTATTTATTTATTTGGTTTATATAAGCATCTTCTGATTTGTCCTATAGCTGAAGCTCTCAGGGCAACATCAATAAATGCAAAATAAAGCACAATCAAATCTATACGGTACAATTTAAAGCTCTCCAAAGCCGCCCCAACACAGTGCAGAGTCCAGTGAATCAAAAGGTATCCTCAAAGATACAGACAAGTCAAAGGGTAAAAACGGCAAAACATGGAGATACATCTTGGAAGCAGAGCATATGGCAAGTTAAAAGGCCTTTTCCTGGCATGGAATGCAGGGGGGTTTCTAGGAAAAGCAATCCATAACTGGGGGCTAGAATTGAAATGTCTGTTCAGAAATGGCACTCCACAAGCATGAGAGGCTGCTTAAGAATCACCAAGAAGGAAGAAGCACATTCCCAAAAAAGAGCACTAAATAAAACATTACTTTGCATAAAAATGGTGTATGTTAGACAATTTCCAAAGAGTTGCTGGATTCAGACATGTTAGGTATGGGTTGAGTGTGGGTTGTCATGGAATTGTGGGTTGTTGGTGGCACAAGGGTTATCCTGTTTTCTGAACCTAGCCATGCTAACAAACCACACTTGATAACCACAAAAACCTTTGAGTTGTGTACTGTGGGTTGCTTGCATTAATAAACATAGTTTGTTGTCTCGGCTGGGTTCGGGCCATGCAGTAACACATGTGTCAAGGGCAATCCATGGGGCAATGAAAAGCCACATCCAGCCCATATTCAATCCTCGAGTGTGTGTTATTGCGTTGTTTGAACCCAGCCAATGACGATAATTTAAATAGAAATACAGGTGACCTGCTCAATTTGGCCCAGGTGCTGGTGGCTCTTGAGGGGTGGCAATGAGTCTCTGGGCACCTGCTTCTTCGTGTTAGTTCCCTTTAAGCCAGACACGGACCAAACGGCCCTACAAATGGAGGACCGTCCTCTTTCAAGCGTTCAAATGGAGGACATCCTCTGCAAAGGATGCCACCCACCCCCAGTGGGTGCTGAAGACAACCGTGGTGGGAGCCCAGGCAAGGCATCAGCGCAGGTGGACTGCTGGCCGGTCCGGGGGTTGGCTCGTCTGCGTTGCAATTCTCCATCAGCCAGCCTCTTGCACTCATTTTGAAAACACTCCTTCGGTTCCAAAGGCAGACGGTTGACCTGCTAGAAAGGCTGTAATCCATGGGTCCTCAAACTACGGCCCATGGGACGGATCCGGCCCGCCGTGGCCATCCATCCGGCCTGTGCCGCTGTTCGCCGCCCGCGTGTGCAGGGAGGTGGTGACTTGCTTGCTTGAGAAGGTCTCCAAGCGAGCAAGCCACTGCTGCGGGTGCCTGATGCCGCCTTGCGTGTGCCCAACGGCACCTCACCGGCCCCGCGCCCCCAGGCACCCCCACCTCACCGGCCTGCGCCTGTAGCAGCCACCCTTCAACTGGCCCCCTATCGAAAGTTTGAGGACCTCTGCTCTAACCTTTCCTCAGACCTTCATGAAAAACTGCAGCTCACCTTTCCTGGGAGTGTAGGATCTTGCTAAGTCTCGCAGTGCACACCTTCTTGGATTGCCATGCACCCCCCCCCCACCATCTTCCTGGCCAATAGAAAGATAAGGGCAACTCCCGGGCTTCCCAGGCAATTAAAAGGAAAACAAAATCAATTCCCTTGCCTAGTGCAATCACCAAACCTACATGTGGATCCACAAGAGAAGGTAACTTTTCGGCAGGCAGGAAAAAGTCCCCCCCCCCCACAAAATAAAGTAATAGATCAAGGGAATAAATGCTCTAGGCAAGGGGGTTCACAGCCTTTAAAGAATATGCATTTTTAAAATCAGAGCATTAATAAGACAACAGAGAATGGCAGTGTCTGCTCCAGCCTGTCTGATTTACCAAAAACAAAACAGAACAGCCTGTTCAGAGTAAACCCTTGGCCCATATAGCTCAGTGTGGGCAACACCAGCCCGGTTCCCTGTGGATATGTTGGACTACAACTCCCACCACCCCAGCCAGCTGGAATGGAATATCCTGGAAAAGAATATGTTGCTTTACTGCTCGTAGGCACTTGTGTAGGGATAATGAACCTCTGCCCTTCAAAGCCCCTGCAGATTTCTTCGTTCCCCCCGCCCCAAACCTGGTTTGAACGATGGAGCAACAGAGATAGGGCACGTGGGACTAACCACCATATATCACATTGTGGAGCGCACCTGGTCAAGGTGCCAGCCATGCCCGTTTCCAGAATACTGGGTTCCATTCCCCCCACTTCCCGACTGGGCCCAGACAAACTGGGGCGCCATGGCCCTGCTGCCCAACTTACAGTCAAGTGAGGTGACGGCACCAAGGACGGAGCCTTGTCAGTGGAGCCCCCACACCGCCTGCAATTCGCTTCCCTGGAAATGGCATCAAAAGTCCTCCCTGTTTGTTCTGATTAAGATGTTTTTAAAATCCACGTGGCCTTTTTGGATTGATTTTCTGCTTTCTAAAAATGGTGCATACTGTGATGCATTTGGGATTAGTCTAAATGACCTTTTCAGGGATCTCTTGCAGCCCAGTGACATCAATTTTAAAAACAAACAAACAAACAAACAAGGAAAGAAACAACGATTCAAAACTCTACTTGGAAGCCTCTAGGTATCTGCGGATGCTAGGAAGGTCAGCTGTCTGGGCACGACAGATTTCCTGTTTCCAGGAGATCAGCTAGATACACATAAGAACATCACAACTTAAAAAGAGCCCCGCTGGATCAGACCAGAAGTTCATTTATCCCAGCCTCCCACTCACACAGTGGCCGAACAGCTGCCCACAGGAAACCCCCCCACAGGATATGAGTGCCACAGCACCCTCCCGCCCAAGTTCCCCAGCAACTGGTGCCCACAGGCACACTGTCTCCAACATTAGAGGTCACACAGAATCTCTGCTCTTAATGCTCGTTGGGGGCTTTCTTTAGATAGCCACATACTGCACATTAGTTAGCTGGGATGCATAAAACACACAGTTCCTTTCTCCATTCTCCATTCCCTGCTTTACTATTGCTTCGATATTCCTGATAATGTTAGAGGAAGACAAAACTGTTAGGGAAACCTGATTTTTTAAAAATAATGCTAATACTCTAAGGGAGGGATAATATATTTTTAACGTAAAAACAAGGCAAGCATCTATAGCTATAAATGGGCACAGCCAGCTACTTCTGGAGTATTAAAAAAAGTGCGTGGGGGTGGGGGGCTCTGAGATGCTCATGTCAAGCTTACTTGTCCCTGGCCCAGCACCTTCCAGTCTCTGGAGGGGGTGGGAGTTTGGACCTCAGCTCTCAGGCACTGGTCCCACTTACACCCCTGAAACCCACGGAAACCGAAACAGAGCGAGTCGGAAGGGGTCTCCCGGGCCATCTAGTCTGACCCCCGGCTCCAGCCGGCTCCGCTCGCGACATGCCCACCAATGGAGGAATGGCTCTTGGCATGGACGCAGCAGGAGACCTACCTCAAGGCCTGCATCTGTGATGGTTGATCTCTTAAGGCTCATGGACTTCACCCCTTTCTTGGACAGGGGATAGTTATCAATGAATTCACAAATGTCCAGGTCGGAGACCCCAACCAGGCAGAAGCCATCAAAGCCCCTGATGGCGAAACCCTGGAGGCTGACAAACTCCTTGTCCCCACTGGGCAGGACGTTGTAGAGCTCTTTGGTGTGCAGCACGGGAATCAGGCCCAGCCAGAACTTGGGCTGGTACAAGACCTTCCGCCACGCCTTACACACCTGAGCGAGGACACACTTCTCGCAGGCGGAAAAGTACATGAACAGGCGGTTGAGGATCTTCTCGTCTATGGCCAGTTGCCTTTCAGTGGAGGAACTGGAGAGACCCTCCAGGGAGGGGACTTCCCCGTCGGCTGGGGAGGTCTCACTGGAGTTCAGTCCTACCACGGCGGCCCCAGAAGGAGACGGCACCCCCGTGAGCGCAGCCAAAGTCAAGGGCGACGTGAGGCTGGGCATGGACAGGTCGCTGTGATTTGCTAAGGCTGGACTGATGATCGGAGGCACAGAAGACGGCTGGCACAGGCGGTTTTTCATCGCTGGAGTCCCCTTGGTGATGCTGGCGGAGCCGAGTCCATTGGCCTGGGTGGGGATCTTCACCAGTCCATTTCGGGGTAAGCATGGGGGCTTGGTCTCACCGTTGCTCTGGTTCGACATCTTCCAAGGTCACTCTGAAATATAGCAGAGAAAGGAGATGGAGCAAAGAGGTATCTGGAGCTGGGTTGAAATACATAGCTCAGAAGACTTTTGTGAATATATTCTTCCTGCAGTTTTCAAGACAAGACAACATAATGAACAAGAAAGAAATCGCATATAACATGTGTGACTTGGGCAGTTCTCCAGTTACAGCTTATTTCATAAAACCATTAGAATTAGAGCCGGGTGGGCAATTTTTCTGGGTCTGTGGGCACATTTGGCAGTTTGAGAAACCATCCTGGGCACCAGCACAAAATGGCTGGCATAAGCAGTCACATGCCCTCAACACTGAGTATGACACAAAGCTGGTGGGCTGTGTGACTGAACACACTAAACAACTCCTTTGAACTCACAATTCTCAGCACCAACAGAAACAGATTTCACAGGAGGCAAAATCTTTTTCTTCCTTCCTCCTACTCTGCCAGCTGATTCACTCTCCCTCGTCTTTCTTTTTTTCTCTGTCAGGTTCATCACACATAGATTCTCTCTCTCTCTCTCTCTCTCTCTCTCTCTCTCTCTCTCTCTCTCTCTCTCTCAGACAAACACACACACACACACACACACACACACACACACACACACACACACACTGGGGGTGGGTGGTGGGAGAGAGAGATCGAGAGAGAGATCAAAGCAATCACAGCTGCCAGTAAGAAAAAGTGGTAGTTGCTTGTTTGTTTTACAAATGGGTAGAAGAACCGCATCTCCTTCCGGGGCAGCGCTGTGGCCCATGCGGTCCTCAGCGAGAATCCTTCTGAGTATTGCATTACGATGGCAGATCCCTCCAGAAGCACTTCCAGTATTTTTGGGAACGAGCACCTGGTATTCCCTTGCTTAGAGAGGGAAAGGAAAGGAAACAAAGCCCCTAAATCTACCTTTTGGGCGACTCTCTTGGCCACCGCACAGCAGTGCGTTCCTTTCTCTGATCACGTGGCTGCCAGATTTGGCCAAACCATCTTTAGCTGTCGAGCCCTGATCTTGACACACGCATCCTAGCAAGCACCTAACCATATCCTTCTGTATAATTTGTGGCTCATTGGCTATTGAGCATGTGGGAAGGATATGCTGGGACGGATTAATGGTTGTGTGAGGTCTGAGAGGACTCCAGAGGTCTGAGATCAAAGCTGCTCGGCTTGCCAGTGTTGCTGCCACGTGCCTGCAAAACCGTGTGCCCTGCACTTGCTCCAATGCAGAGTGTTTTCCCGAGAAACCCTGGCGATCTTTCCTCTTCTCATCCTTCCCCCAGGAAAGGAAGAGCCTCTAAGGACAGAGATATCCAGGCGCCTTGAAACATGAGGTGGGATTACTGCAATGCACCTAAAGGGGGGCCAGCTGTAAGGTAGCTCTGGAAGCTGCACCATCACCAGGAAGCTGCCCCTGTTTCTGCAGAGGGAACGGTACTGGCTGCCTCTCTGCTCCCAGGCCAGCTTTAGGGCTCAGTATTGCTGCATAAAGCCCTAAGCCGCTTGGGACCAAGGTCCAGGATGTCTGGGGGTGCCACTGAGGTCATCAGAGGAGGCACTCCCGGTGCCTCTGCCCGGACCTCAGGTTTGGTCAGAGTCTGCTCACTGTTCAGCACTGGTGGCTTTTTTCAGGAGTCCCATTTCCATTGTCCAATGTGCTGACATTGCTTGTTTTGGGCATTTGCTAAATACATTTTTCTCTAAACCCACTTTTCCTAAATGATCAGTTTTACGGGCAGAATGTGACTGCCGGTAGATCTTCCTTTGCACCGGTAGATGCAAGGCTGGCCTACAAATGTTTTGGATGAGATGTCTCCACTGTTTTACTACTGCGTTATTCTCATCCTTCCCAACTGTCCTGCCTGGTGCCTCAGGGGTTGGATGGCTCATAAGCCAGGGTGCAAAGGTTTGGCTTAGCGTGCCACACGAGTCCACCCACCGAGTTAGACCATGCTTGCATCCAGCCCGGTATTGTTGACTCAGATGGCAGCAGCTCTGCAGGGTTCCAGGCACGACCCCTTCCTGTCCCCAGAGAATCTGGGGGTGGCACTGGTGGCCTCTGCATTCTAAGCATGCGCATTGTTGCCGATCTGCAGCCCCTTTGGTTGATGTCTGCACAGCGGTCTCCATTGAAGCACAGCTACGGAGGCCCACTCATGAGAGACAATGGTGGGGCGAGTTTCCGCCTGTCACATGCCTGTTAAATATTGATGGCCTCTCTGAGGCCCATCCACCAGCCAGGGCTCAAGCGCCATGATGCCAAAGCACAGTCCCAAGCGGCACCAGGTGCCTGCATGTCACATCGGATTTGTCTTGGCCACACTGACCCAACCTTGAGAGCAAACTGAGCGCCTGCCTCTCAGGAGACTCGCCGGCTCAGACACGTCGAAGCGAGGCTGGGATCGGCTGTCTAGCTTCTTGGATTCTGCACACAATCACGTGCCAATGCAGATGACGGGCTGCACTGAGCCAGCCGGCTGGAGAAACCCCACACAGACACTTGCTGAGCAGCTGCGTGTCTCTGCGAGGAAGCAGACGGGGCCTTCCCTTCCCATGGAGCGCCAGCAAGCAGCTGGCTGGAATGAGGAGGGAATACAGATGCTGGACAGGTTTTCTTCCTTTCCTGCTCTGGAAAGGCCATGCCAGTTCTCTGTGCGACCTTCCTCCCCAGAAGCCGGCCGATGGCAACCTGAACACCTGAAGAATTGGATTCTGCGGCCTGGCTAAAAGAAGCAGCCATAAGGGCGTGCTTCTTCTTATGATGGGCTCTTTGTCATGCAGCGTTTACTGAACAGTCACAAAGGTGCCTCAGAGCCTCAACTCCCACCACTGGAAGTCTTCTTCAGCAAGGTTTTCTCTGACATACATAACAAAAGCAATGACCTTGCAGTCCCAAGAACTAGAACCTTCCCACGTCTGCTGAAAATGATATTGACAGGAGGCGGTGTCCTACAGTGCACACCAAATTTAAATATAACAAAACCCCAAACCTTGTGCATGCTTTTCTACACTCTGTCAAGCGATGGCATGGTCACAGCCCTGGACGATCGCACCTGAGACAGGTACGAACTTGGCTACAGGGTAGCCACTTGTGTGCTGCCCCCGAGAGGCACTGTGTCGTGAAAAGGAGGAGGCCAAAAGAGGGCACAGTTCTGTATACAGTGTACCTGTGCGGATTTAGAAGTACCGATGCCAATTTGGAAATGATTGCTATTATTTAAGTAGAAATGCGGCACCTCTCACCAAACTGTATTGAGGTGACCCACATACCTGCTTGTACAACCTGCTGTCCAGCCGAGAGGCTCAGGCGGGCAAAATCAAGGCTCCCACTGCCCGCTGTGGCTTTCTGGAGCACTCAGCGGGGCTCCTTCCCAAGAGCTTCCCCCAGCTGGAACAGGGCAGAGGTCTGTTTTAGAAGGGGCACTGGAATCGCCAAAAGCAACGCCGGCTGCAGGATTTGAGGGCGCCTGGGCAAGGCGCCCCATGGGACCCCTGCCTCAGTGAGCCCCCCTCCCCATTCCTGTCACCAGCAGCTGCTTTTTCTGCTCATCCTCCACGTCTTTATGCCTTACTGGCCTGATGGCAGGCGGGGAGCCTGGGAGCAGGGAGACCACAACCCGCTGGCTCCTCCTCCTCACCATCACTTCTGTCTGGGCGAGACTGGGAGGCAGGAGGGCAAACGGGTCATGATGGGGGACAGAGGAACAAGCCCAGGAAATCGTGCCTGGCCATGACACACCCGGCTGCCAGCCCTGGCCCAAAGTCCTGTATCCAGCCGCTGCCTAGCCTTTTCAGTCAGGCACCTGCAGAGAAAGGCACTGCTGAAAAGTACTCAGAACCATCCAGGGTCCAGGACCCTTTTCAACTGAGGGCAGGGCCACCACCATGGTTGGCACGCGGCCTCGAATGAGGGAGAGGCAAGGGAGAAGCCACCTGGATGGAGCTGCAGCTGCTGGACACAGCTGCTGCGTCGGAAGCTGCTCTCCTGCAGCCTCTTCCCGCTCTGACGGAAGGAGTGGGATGCCAGAGAGGGAGGGGCACCTCTGAAGGCCTTTATGGACTGGATGGGGAGGGCTTGTGGGCTGGGCTTGGTCTGCCGCCTGGAGGTCCTCCTATGGAGAAGACAGTGCTGAACTAGAAGGCTCACTGGCTGGAGTTGCTCAATGGCAGATCTGCAGGTGTGGGGGTGGAGTCCACAGCTGAGTAAAGGTGGACCGGGTACTTTGCAAGCCAAGGGCTGGGTGAGTTGGCTGGGAAGCAGCCATGCCTGGGGTACCAAAGGGAGCATCCATCCACATTCCCACAGCTTGAGATGGTGTCCTAGCTCAGTGGGAATGCAACGTATTTCCCAGGCGGATGGTCTCAGGTTCAGTCCCTGACATGTCCAGGAAAAGCAATAAGAAAGAAGCATCTCCAGTTAAAATTTGAAACTTGTGGTCTGCTTTATGATGCCGTTTTGACGGGACAATGGGCATTTTTTGGAGGGGGGAAGGGGCAGCAACATCGACAGCTCATGTCCTAGTCAAAAGGCAACCGTTGCGGCTGCAAGTGCTAAGCCAGGCTGCTGTACCGTACCAGGCACTGGCTCCCCGCGGCTGCACACCTCCACAGCTGCGGCTAAATAAATAAATGTCACAAGCCAGTGCCAGTCACCCCGGAGCGCTGTTTGGGCACTCGTGAGCTGGCTGGCATCGGCAGGGGCCCACGCGAGCCTGGCAAGAGTGAACAAATGTTGGTTGGTCGGTTTGCCGGGGGACTCACGGATTCCCAAGATGGGGTTGGTCACCCAGGGTCGGATGACCCGACAGCTCATGGTGGGTAAAACAATCCCAACATTCAAGCCATGGGTTGTTGCCCACAAATAAGCAACCCTGTTGGGATTAGCTGAGGTTTGCCTGATACGACAACCCACCATAAATTTTTAGCCACCATGGCTTGTCGTGCTGGGCTCGACCTGCGTGCATAGAAAGGCAGTGCCCCATCCCTGGTAGCACAGAT